CACATATGTGGATTTTACGCTGGTACGCTGTGACAGATGTGGATCACTGGTACAGATGTGGATTTTACACTGCTACACCGTGACAAATGTGGATAACCACTGGTATTGTGTGACAAATGTGGACAACCACTGGTACAGTGCTGCAGATGTGGACAACCACTGGTACACAGTGCTGCAGATGTGGACAACCACTGGTACAGTGCTGCAGATGTGGACAACCACTGGTACAACCACTTGTGCTGCAGATGTGCTGGACATGTGGACAACCACTGGTACTGTGCTGCAGATGTGGACAACCACTGGTACTGTGCGGCAGATGTGACAGCTGTGTGTGGACAACCACTGGTACTGTGCTGCAGATGATGGTGGACAGCAAATTACAGGATGGCTATGATTGGACACAGCCATCATGTGATCAGAAGGGCCAATCAGAGAGCTCTCCTGCCGAGCGGCATTGAGCTATGTCCAGGGAACACAGGCACACCGAGAGCACACAGCTGCACAGCCATGAGGCCACGTGCCAGGCCACGTTCTGAGGGAAGTTCAGGAACATCCAAGCAGAACGATGAAGATCGCACCTGACTGTTAATGTTGGTTGCCAGGCGGGAAGCGGTTGAAAAAAACAAAAACTGCTTTGCGGATGTTTCATCATTCACACAAAAGTATAAAATAGTAAAAAAATGTAGCGAGCGCTATAAAGATATATGTACATAAGCAGCTGAAAACACTAAAGGTACACCATAAGACTTCAATAAAATCTCAGAATAAAAAGTGCAGCGCTAGAAAAAAAAAAAAAAAACAGTATAAGCATTTAAATCAGGCAATAAAATGATAAGTAATAAATGCGTATGGTCTTAAAATGCCAAAGAAACGCTTGGCAATATGATCCCTTACATAAAAACGCGCATGCACCTCTGATGTGTTTTGAAACATAAATTTGTCATTAAAATCTCTGTAAAATCTTTGAAAAAATTGGCATACCCCTTTTGACAATGTACTTGTGGTACGAAGCGCGTCAAGGAGGTGCCCTTGCTAGCCGTGACATCAAGCCACCGGATCACGGAGGTCCGGCGGCCACTTCATTTAACCAGCTGGCCAGTGTTTTATACATGCAATTGTCATTTTGTTGCTTCAACTATTTTACCACATAGTGTACGTGTTTGGTTTACATTTTTTTACATTTAATACCATTAAATACTACACTATGGAAGTACCCCTTTTCTTTTGCTCTGCACTGAGAGTTTTAACTTCCCAGCAATCCCCGGTGAGCATCCCAGAGCCTGGATGAGATTGATTCAATTTACCCTGCTGTATCCTGTAACTCAAGGAAGGCCATCTACTCCCAGGTTGCATTCCGGACCACCCTAAGAAGGGATCCCTGACTGCTATTGACAGTATATGATACAACGCGCTATACCTAAGCGCTTCCCCAAAGTGGTGAGTGTACACTTTTGGTTACATTAATATTAAATATAATAAAAAAAATAAAATAAAATTAAAAAAAAATATACACCCAGTCAGTGTCCCTGAGGCCAGTTATTCATTCACTGGGATTGTACTTCATCACAACTGGAGATTATCCTGTCTAATCTTACTGGGAAGATTGTGGGATACAGAGATTTTTATGACAAGAAATTTATTTTCAAAATACACATCAGAGGGAACTCATATTCCCAAGTTTTTTTCTTAGGCATTTTATTTATTTGACACGTTTATAACACATTTATTACTTTTTTTGTTATTGCTGATTTGAAATGCCACTGTGTTTTTTTCCTAGCGCTGTACTTGGAGCGCTTATTCTGAGATTCACACAAAAAGTAACCATTTTAACTTCCCAGCAATCCCCGGTACATCCCAGAGCCTGTTTATACCCTGCTGTATCCTGCTATGGAAGACCCCCCATTTTCTGGGGATCCCTGACGTTTTGTATTACAACGCGCTATACTAAGCGCTTGGTGCATTTTTTGCTAGAAAATTACTTATAATCCCCAAACATTATATATTTTTTTTAGCTATGTTTCAAAACTAACCCAAGTTTTTCCTTCCCAGGTTTGCATAAAGTAGAAAACACAAATGGCGATCATTTTTTTTTTCCTAGCAATTTTATTCACATGGTATATTTTATACCGCAGACCAAAAATTTTTTTTGATTAAATGCTATTTTATAATCCCGAAACATATATTTTTTAGCTACACCCAAAATGGCGATCATTGCAATTTTATGCACAAAATATAATCCCAGGATTTTTACAATTGTGGACAATTGTGGAAAGGCGACAAACTACGAAACTTAAAATAGGCGATGCTTTAATCATTTTTATAGGTAACCAGTTTAGAGTTACAGAGGAGGGTCTAGCGCTGGATTTATTGCTCTCGCTCTAACGATCGCTACCTCACACGTGTGCTGCAAGCTCCATTTACATATGCGCACACAAATGACGTATGGGTTCACTTCTCCACGTGAGCACGGTGGGATGGGGGCATTTAGATTTTTTTGTTTTTTTACACTGTCCCTTTAATTTTTTTCATCACTTTTATTCCTATTACAAGAAAAGTAAACATCCCTTGTAATAGAAATATACATGACAGGTCCTCATGAAGACGAGATCTGAGGTCAAAAAGACACCAAAGCTCTAAAAGCAAGTTTAACCCCTCGCCTACGGGCACTTTCACCCACTTCCTGCCCAGGGCCAATTTTCAGCTTTCAGTGCTGTTGCATTTTGAATGACAGTTGTGCGGTCATGCAACCCTGTACCCATATTAAATTATAATTTTTTTTGAGACATATAGAGCTTTCTTTTGGTGGTATTTAATCACTACTGGGTTTTTTTTATTGTTTGATAAACAAACCAAAAACTACTAAAAAAAAAAAAAAACACACTTAGTTTTTTTTATAACATTTTGTAAACGAGTAATTTTTCTCCTTCACTGATGTGCGCTAATGAGACTGCACTGATAGGCACTAATAGGTGGCACTGATGAGGCACTGGTAGGTGGCACTGATGGGCATTGACATACATCACTGGTGGGCATTCACAGACATCACTGATAGGCACTGAAAGTCAGTACTCATGTATGGCACTGCACTGCTAGGCAGCACTGATGGTCACTGATAGGCGGCACTGACTGGCACCACTCATAGGCGGCACTGAAAGGCAGCTCAGATGGGCATTGATATTTGGCATTGATGTGCACTGGTAGGCACTGATATGTGGCATTGATGGGAAAAGACAGGTAGCATTGATGGGAAAAGACAGGTGGCATTGATGGACACCAACAGGTGGCACTGATGGGGCTACACTGATCAGCAGGGCACTGATCATCAGTGCCCTGATGATCAGTGTAGATGTCCCCTCTGAGGAATGCCGATTACTGGCTCTCCTTTCCTCAAAAGCTGTCAGCTTTCCTTTTCCTTTTTTAAATGTGATCAACTGTGATTGGACACAGCTGATCACATGACAGAGCCGAAGTCATTGGCTCTTTTCGCTGATCGGCGATCTGCTGTGTCCCACGGGCACAGCGCACCACCGATCGCCATGCTGCACACCCCGCGCAGTTAGAGTGGGAGGACGTCATATGACGTCCTCCCAGAACGAGAGAACCACATTGCGCCCGTCATTACCTTATATGGTGGGCGGGGAGTCGGTTACATTTTTTTTTCTTTTAACTTTTGCTTTAGAAAAGAAAAAAAATGCATCACCGCCATCTTGAGGAGGCTGCACCATCAGATCATTTCTCAGGCCGACTAGCGTTAACAGTAAGCCTGAGATACACCGGCGAGCCATGGGGGGGGGGGGTCTTCCTTGGGGGAACGTCCCTTTCCACCATATGGAAAGTGAGCCAGCAGCTCAAGAGCCACTAGGACCACTTTCATATGAAAACAGGCCGTAGAAAAAAAAAACGGTACCAGGGTTATGGCTCATTTCTTCGGTCATAACTCGGGTAAACCACTTGACAACAGCAATGTTTGTATACGTATACGCAGGGCCGGTGCTTCCACTAGGCAAACTAGGTGGCCCCTCCTAGGGGCGCCTCTCTGTGTGCGATGACACCACGTCATGAATGATCCTTCATCTGAGGGGAGGGGCATTAGAGGGGAGGAAGAAAGGACAGAGGAAAATGCAGAGTGTCTGGGGCCAGTGTAGCAGCTGAGCTGCCATTCCAGTGTTCCTCTCAGACTCAGTACCTTACTGCAAGTTGGCTGGTGGCTGCTGATCATTGTGGAGTTTAAGCCCTTCAGCTTCTCTGCTGGGCCTGCTGACCTATGTGTTGGTGGTGGTGTGTTGTGTTGTATCTGTCACTGCATGAGATTGCTCAGTTCAGGTGTTCTCTGTGTGTGTGGGGGCTGTGCTGCCTGCTGTCGCAACGTTTTACCTCCCCCATTGCCTGGGGAATTCCAGCCTGGGATCTGTCAGTGTGGATCCATCATCCTCCACTCACTGCAACTGTCACCCTGCCACTGCCAGCCACAGATACAGTCCTCCGTAACATTGATTTTGTCTTTAACCCCTTGCCTACTGGGCACTTATACCCCCTTATTTACCAGGCCAATTTTCAGCTTTCAGCGCTGCCGCACTTTGATTGACAATTGCGCGGTCATGCAACATTGTACCCATATGAAATTTTGATCATTTTTTTCTCACAAATAGAGCTTTCTTTTGGTGGTATTTAATCGCCACTGGGCACTTTACTTTTTGCGCTATAAACAAAAAAAGTGCAAAAATTTTGAAAAAAAAAAAAAGTTTCTTTGTTCCTATTATAACATTTTTCAAACAGGTAATTTTTCTCCTTCACTGATGTGCGTTGATGAGGCAGCACTGATGGGCACTGATAGGCGGCACTGATGGGCACTGATAGGCAGCACTAAAGGGCACTAATAGGCAGTACTAATGAGGTGGCACGGATAGGCGGCACTGATAGGCAGCACTAATGAGGTGTCACGGATAGGCGGCACTGATATGCACACTGATAGGCGGCACTGATGATGGGTACTGATAGATGGCACTGACTGGCATCACTGCTGGGCACTGACTGGCGGCACTGACTGGCACAACCGCTGGGCACTGACTGGTGGCACTGACTGGCAGCACTACTGGGCTGCACTGGTGGTGGGTGGGCACAGGTGGGTGGCACTGCTGGGCACAGGTAGGTGGCACTTCTGGGCACAGGTTTGTGACACTGCAGAGTGTCACAGGTGGGTGCTCTGCTGGGCACAGGTGGGTGATCTGCTGGGCACAGGTGGGTGATCTGCTGGGCACAGGTGGGCGGAGCTAGTGGGCGCACTGCTGGGCACAGGTGGGCGGAACTTGTGGGTGGCACTGCTCGGCACCGATCATCAGGGCACTGATCATCAGTGCCCTGATGATCAGTGCCGATCCCCGCTCTGACAACTGCCAGTTCTCGGCAGTACTTTCCTCATGATCTGACAGCGTGAGGAAAGTGCAGCCGAGAACCGGCAATTGAATTTCCCGGTGATCAGCGTGTCATTGGACACGGCTGATCATGTGGTAAAAGGCCGCTGTGATTGGCGGTCACGGAGATTGCCGGGTGCCCCCTGGGGCGCGCAGGAGAGCGCGTTCTGGGAGGACGTCATATGACGTCCACCCAGAACTGGCCGGCCGTAGTGCAGCCGTCATTCGGCTATCTGCGGTCGGCAACTAGTTAATTTTGGTGCTGGTGGCATCTTATGGCACTTATTTTTGCAAATTAAAAGAAATTTATCAATTTTATGTTTTGTTGATTTAATATTTTCTACTTTTTAAAAAATTTTTTTTTTTTTGGGGGGGGGGGACAAGTAGCTGGTCTTGCCTAGGGCGCAAAATAGTCTAGCATCAGCCCTGTTTATACACAGTCTTCAAGTGGGTAATATGTGTACAATGTCAGTTTCCATTTGTTTCCCTACCTCAGGCAATGTCAACATTCAACCATAAAAGTTAAAGAACATTCAACCAATAGAGTAAATGGCCTAACACTGTAAGCTAAGAAGATTTTACCAAAAGGGTGAATAATATGAGGGAGAACTCAGCATTGTGTACACAATCTATGGAGATTCCATTGGGAACATCTGAATGGGTGTTCAGCTGAGAAAACCTCCTGTGTGAAGGGAAACATTTAGCAGCATTTTTACTACCCCTGATAAATGTGATAACTTTCTGCTCAGGGCTCCTGGTTGTTAGAGAGCTAGAACCCGCTAGCATCCTACCAACCAGTCACTCATCCCTGCCCAGTGTAATGCCCTCTTGGTTGCCTTGATAGGCTTAGCCTTGGAGTGAAGCAGTGACTTCACCTCAGTACAGGGTGGGATGTTCTACAGGTCAGGGCTTCTGGAGCCCTCTCAACCTTCCAGAAACTAGAGAACTTTCTGGAACAGGGGAGGAGGAGGGGAGAAGGCCCAGATCTGCAAGTTTGAAGGACCTTGGCCAATCCTCTGGCAGGAGGCTGGGCATGGTGACCAGGGCAACCCTCAAATATCACAGAACCTGGGGAGAAGTGTGCAGTGTCAGGTGGAAGATGGACTGACAGGAAGTCTGGAGTGAGGAGCCTGAGAGGGAGCCCCAGGGAGAGGAGCCTACCTACAGGCAGGGTGCTGGATGGGAAGATCTTTTTTTTTTTTTTTTTTTGGGTTTTTAGCAATCATACATGGTAATCGACCAAAGCAAGAGAGAGAAAATATAGTGGAAGCACATATCACAGTACATAACCATAAGATAAACCATACATTATGCCGATAGTATCTCAGAAAGATTCAATGTATGTCAAATTAGCTTCAGCCTTGCTAAGGGGGGGGGGGGGGGGGGGGTTGACTCATCTCCAGATTCTGGGAAGTCTTGGATATTTGTAAGGAAGATGCGTAGGAGAGAGGGAGAGCTCTGTGATGCAGTGTACTCCCTTGGTTCTGGGCGTGAGTGGGGGGGGTTTAATTGTGTTGGCTGAGGTCTAATGTCAGCATATGACTTCAGTGATAGAATAGAAAAGAAAAACTATGAAAAGGCTGTATACATGTGTGGTAGTTGTTGGAGGGGAGAAAGAGGATGAAGTGGGAAAAGGGATTAGAAAAGAAAGAGGAGGAAGAAGACAGAAGGGGGTAGCAACTGTGGTGCTGCTAATAGGTTAACTTGGCAAAAAGAGTGATGGGGAGGAAGGGAGAAGGAAGGGGGAGAGACCAGTAGAACCCTGGGTCTCTATGTGTGCAGGGAGATGCAATGAGAAGGATATGAGCATAGGTAGAGTGATTAGGTCCAGATCTACATTATAACTTAAGAAATGATGTTAGTGATTGGGTAGATTGAAGATGTAACATATGTCCACACTTTGTTCTAGGGAGACAAAGGTGAGAGAGAGACCTCTTTTTTTCCCCCATTTACCATGTGGGATATGAATGGAAATTTGGGCGTGTCTATGTTATGGATAGTAGCTGGGCGAGTCATTCGGTCTAGCTTTGTACTGTAGCTCAAATCACTGAGAAACCTAGGGGGCAAACATAGAAGCAGAAGGCAGATACCGCAAGTATACATGAGCAAGTCTTCATAACCAATGTCTTACATACAGATAGCATAGAGAGATTATGAGTAGTCAAAGTTACAAATCAAGGCACAGATAATCTGTCATCCTCAGCTCTTGTAAAGAGAGTGTAGCATTAACATAAGAACTCCATTTTCGGATATATACTGTAGATCTACACCGTGGTTGGGACGTGAGGAGATTAAATGGAGTTTGTCCAGATGTAGAAGAAAGTTGAGGTCTTGTTTTAGATCCGATAATGTTGGAGACCCATTTTTTCAGGATGGCCCTTCTTGCTGCCAAGAGACAGGTAGATAACCATGGTTTGTATCTTCTCAGCATCTGGAGTTCAGAGGGCAGAGAACCTGTAGCTAGATTTTCCATATTGCCGAACAGAAGGATTAAAGGATCCCTTGTCAGTTGGATGGTGGTGACAAAAGACATAAAAGATTACTTGTGTCCAAAAGACAGATATGGAGGGACAGAGCCAGAAACTGTGGTGTAAGGAGGGTTTAGGACTGTTGCAGGGCGGGCATTTGGGCACTTCAGGGCTGTTTTTCAGGTAAAGACATGGCTCGATGCATAATCTTGAACTGTTGTTCGTGCCAGAATTCATTGATATTGAAGGCACAAGTGGTGTTGAAGCCTGAGAGTATTTGATCTGCTGTAAATGCATTGTCAAACTCTCTAGTCCAGGATTGGATTGAGTTTGAGGTTTCCAGTACAGACGATTTAGCGGTTTGTAGATGTTGGATATCTTGTAATTTCAGTGTTGTGCCAAAACCTCTAATATGGTAGCGGAGAATCTAGTGGACTTGACCAGTTTTTTTTTTTTTGTTTTTTTGTTTTTTTAAGTCCGCAACCGTGCAACTATAACGAAAAAACCCGTAAGTGTTCACAAAAAATGTGCAAGTGCAAAACACGAAAAAAAGTGCACTTAGGGGTGTGCTGTGTCCTACCCCTAAAGGGGCTTGGACCGCTTACCCTGATCCTCCGGGGCACGAAGCTCCTGACGGGGGCAAGGTTCCCAATTGGTCCTCCTGGCCAAAAGGCCTGGTGGACCACCGTTCCTTGTGTCCAGCCGAAGCCAGACACCCAGTACTTGGTCAGGGGGCTCTCCCGAAGAAGGGCCCCCTAGGGATCAGGGGAGGAAGGAACCAAAAGGCCACACATCCTCCCCCTAGACTTCAGGGTAGGCCCGAGGACCCACACCCTCCATCCGTGAAAAACACACACATAAGTAAAGTAAAAAGTGACAAAACGTGGGAGTGATATAAATTAAATAAATAGAAAATAAAAAAGTGGTACCGTGCCAAATTGTGCACAGACCAGGCCCTGAGGCCCGTAGCAAAAATTGCCCTGGACTTAGCCAAAAGACCTGGTCCTTAGGGCGCTGTGCAAAAAGAGGTGAAAAAACAGTGGCCATGTGTCATCTTCACACCGTGGGGTCCCACACCCAAGTGTTACTAGTGACACCCCTGAGGCGACTACTCAGGGGGCACTGAGTTTGCGGACTTTTTGCGTCCCCAGCCCCTGGCCAGACCAAGGTAGATCCGTCCAAATCAGGAGGTACTGGGTCTTTCCAGTCTTCTCGGAGGAATTACTCCCGAGGCCCCAGAACGAATCATGGCGCTCCCCGGTTTCTGTCCCTCCGGTACTAGCCTTCCGGACCCCCATCATACCAGTGAGGGTACTATACAACAGCCATCCCCGCAAAGCTAGAATGGCCGGGAGCAACCCCCACTGGACACTGATAAGAACAGATACTACACTTGATCTTAGCCAAAAGGCCGAGAAGCGATTGACCAGAAGTGGACTTGACCAGTGCTATAGGAGTTCACATAGTTCCTTACTTGTAATACATAGAAAAAGTGGTAAGGGGGTAATTGGTACCTTTGTTGTATGTGATGCAAAGGTTGCGGTGAGCCATTTGAAGTATCATACAATTGCTGTATCAAAGTAAGATTATGAGCTACCCATGTGCATTAAGCTGCATATTGTTGGGAAAGGGGAAAAGAGGTGTTGTTATGAATTGGAAGAAAACATGAGATCCACGGAGATGCTCCCAATTTACGTCTAATTTCTTTCCATGTGATGAGAGTGTCACGAATAAGAGGGTTGTGCAAGAGGGCCGTGAGATTAAAAGGGTGAACCATATCGGATTCGAGTTGGAAATTGGAATATTTAGATGTTTGAGTAAGCCAGTCTAGACATACTCGTACTAGGCAAGATAGATTGTATATGCGTATATTGGGGAGTCCGGTCCCACCCTCACTCCTTGGAAGGTACAGTTTGTGTAATGCTATGCGAGGGCGTTTGCCTCTCCATAGAAATTTGGAAATTGCCTGATTTAGTTGCGTGCAATCTTTATGCCTGAGAAGGAGGGGAATAGTCTGCATAGGGTATAGAAGTTTTGGGAAGCTCACCATCTTAAAAAGATGCAACCTTCCCAAAAGGGACAGAGGTAACTCTCTCCACATCTCCAATTCCCCTAGAATTTTGTTGATCATTGGCGTAAGGTTAAGTGTGTATAGTGAGGAGGCTAGCTTTCCTATTTTTATGCCTAGATATGTAATGTATCTGTGGGCTAAAGTGAATTGAGAGTTCTGGGTCCACTGTGGGGGGGCGGGCATGGAACAGCGGCAGAACCTCGCTTTTAGAAAAATGTATACGCAATCCTGAATAATGCCGGAATTCGGTAAAGGTATCTCGGATATATGGCAAATCCGAAGGAGGATTTGAGGTGAAAATTAAAATGTCGTCTGCAGATAGTGAAAGTCTTAATTCTTGTTGGCCTATCGAGATTCCATGGAGATCGGAATGGAATAGTAAGTATCGGGCTAGGGGTTCCAGGGCGAGATTAAAAAGAAGTGTGGAAAGGGGGCATCCCTGTCGGTTACCTTATGGAGTTTTATGGGATTAGAAATGTGACCTGACGCAAATATCTTGGTGCTGAATACATTGT